GGCCCCGCGCGCCCTTCCCCGGGGGCCATGGGGGCGCCCCCGGGCTATCGACCCTCGGCCTGGGTGCATCTGCTCCACCAGCTGCCCCGCGCGGACTTCCAGCTCCGTCCGGTGCCCAGCGGCTTCGCTCCCCAGGAGCGGGAATACCAGCAGGTGGGAGTGGGCTCGGGGTCCTGGGGCTGGGGGCCAGCGCTTCTGGATCTTGCGGGAGAAAAGGGCTGGGTGACAGATCCCTGCGTTCCCTCGGGGGTGGGGGCCGGGCCCAGACTTTTGGGTGTCTGAGGGAGGAAGAGCGCGCGGCTCCCATACCTGGAGGTTCCCCTGGGACCGGCGCTGGCCGGCGAGACTCTTCGATCCTTCAGTAAGGGACCCCTGAGTCCCTAAGGGCGGAGACTGGGGGCCCTTGGATTCCAGGGTCTTTGATCTGCCTGGGAGGCCAGCGTCCAGAGTCATCAGAGGATAAGTGTCCTAAGAGATAGCCCCTTCCTTCATAGGAAGGGGCCGTCCCGTAGAGGTGGGACCCAGAGAGAGGAGCTGATGGTGGCGGAGAGGGAAAAGGCTGGTGGTGGGGGGCGTTCTGTTCTGGGACAGGATTGAGACCTGGAATGTGGGGGAGGGGTTTAGGGTCCGGGTGGGGAAAGGAGGTGGAGGTGTTGAAAGGAGTGACTCTGAGCTGTCCCTGGACAGAAGGGGTGGTCAGGGCAGAGAAAGACCGGGGAAGGGGGTATGGGAAGGATGGGGTTTGATTTAGGGAGCCGAGGATGACAGAAATGGATTCAGAGGGTGGGGCCAGGGTGGGAACCTTACAGAAATTGGTGTCCCTGGGGAAGGGAGCCCAGCCTGGTTCAGCTCCCATCGGGGCCAAAGAACTGTCCCCTGACCCAGTTTAATTCAAGCCCTTGACTGAGATTAATGAGCAAAGCTTGGCTGAGCTGCTGGCTGATTGGGGTGCCGGGAGTCCTGGTGGGGCCGGGGATGAGTCAGGGCCCTGCCTATAGGGTCTAGACCACTCGGATCTGTCCTGGGCAGCCTCTAGGATAGGGGGCTGGGGATTGGAGAGCTTAGAAGGGGAAGTCCCAGAGAAACAGAATGGGGGATGTGCTGTATTTTGAGCTATTTGGGTCACAGCTGTGCCAGCTCCTAGCAGCTCCTCCCCACTTACTCCACGGGGCCCTCCAAACGGGGACTGCCAGCCCCTTGCCCACAGCTCCCTGGTTACACACTCACAACCTCCAGTGTGGATCCGGACACCTACTCACGCACAGCCAAGGAGACCTTCTCACGAGGGTACCCAGGCAGCCACATGCGGGGTCCCCACCCCAGTCACCTCCAGAGGCATCAGGCAGCCTCACTCCCTGTAATTGACAGAGAGACAGCCCTGGGGAAAGAAGGCACAAAGTCACATGCCCCTGAGGGGGACAGTACTTCCAGGGAGGCCATGGCTGTGGGTACAGCTGGGAAAACAATCAGGAACTGGGCAACACTGCTGGGGGAACATAGTCACACTCACACACACACACACACACACACACACACGATCAACCACTCACACATACACACACTCACATACTCATACTCACATTCACACATACACACACACACACACTTTCTCTTTCACACACAGCACCAGAGACCCATTTAGACTCAAGGAGTTGTGACAGAAACACACAAATGCCCACAAATCACTCTCACACCTGCAGATACAGGTGCTCTCATAGAGACACACTCACAGATTCACCTACAAACATACACATACTCAGGTATATTATCTCATGGCAGACAAACTCAAAGATGTCACATCTATTCTTGCATCCAGAAACACACTCTGTCACACACACATACACACTCACACATACCACTGCAAGGATAAAAGCAGAGACACTGACTTATGGGAAACCACGTTACTGAGCCCAGAGGTCTGATTCTGTCTCAGGTGGAACCCTGCCTTTCTATGTGGCTCCAGGTAAACCCCTGGCCCACTCTGGGTATCTGTGAAGGCGATAGGACAGCAGGGTGTCCACTTTAATTTTTGCCTCATGAAGAACTCCATTATTCCTCAGGGCTTTTACAACTACAGACACATTTTCTCTCCCTGCTGCTGTCCTCCAGCTTTCAGTCTGTCTCTCCTTTCTCTGAGTCTGCTTCTCTGTCTCTCTCTCTGAGCCTCCTCCTGCCTGTCTTCACTCTCTCATTCTCCATCTCTGGGTCTTGTGCGTGCGTGTGCACGTGTGTGTGCGCGCGCGCGCGCACGCGCACACACACACACACACACACACACACACACACACACACACAGAGTCACAGAGGCTGTCGCGCCTCCCTCCCTGTGAGTCCCTGGGTGACAGACTCACACTGAGGTGGATGTGCAGAACTCAGCAGCAGGGGAGCCGAGCAGTGAGTGGGGAGGGCCAGCAAAGAGGAGGGAAGAGGAAACCTGTTCCCCATCCTTGCACATGCCACCAGGGACAGGCGCCCCTTCCACACCCTGATCCCACAGTTCAGGGATCCAGGTCTCTGCGGGCCCTGTGACATGCTCCATCCAACTGCCTGGTTGAGGAGGAAACCCCAGGCTCAGGGAGGTGAGGACCCCTGACAAATGTTACACAACCATTGATGGGCAGAGCAGAACTGGAACCCAAGACTTGGGCCTCCCAGGTAGAAGCTTCCTCCAATGACCCAGTTCCAAATTGTGGAGCCTCAGCTGCCAGCCTAGGGGGTCCTGGAGACCCCATCTTTTCCCACAAACCTGAAAAGTACAAGGTGGGCTTGGCCCCCAGTCTAGCCAGGGATGCCTACCTCTTCTGCTGAGATCTCATATTCAGACCCTCCAGGTGAGCGGGAGCCACCAGAGCCCCTCTGAGGCCTGATGTCACCCCCTCCCCAGGCCCTGTTGCTGGTGGTGGCCTTGGCTGGCCTGGGTTTGGGCCTCAGCCTCATTCTCATTGCTGCCTACCTCATCCGTGTTTGCTGCTGCCAGCCCCCAGGGCCCCCCAGCGCCAAGAGTCCCCCGCCTGGGGGAGGCTGTGTCACCTGGAGCTGCATTGCTGCCCTCCTCATTGGCTGGTAATGGGGCCCCAGGGTGGGTGGGGGAGTGGGGATGGCTCTGTCGGTCAACCTGTGGCATCCTAGAATCTCACCTCAGCAGCAGGGAGAATTGCCCCCATTTGAGGATGGAGAAACTGAGTTTCAAGAGATGACTTTCCCAGAGTAGCTAGCCTGGCAGGACAGAGTAAGAGTGAAGAGCTGGGTGTTCAGATCACCTGGGGTTGGTAGCTCTGCCACCAAACAGCTGTGTGACCTGGGAGAGTGTTTAGCCTCTCGCGGCCTCAGTCCTCACATCGCTGAGGTGGGTATTATGGTAACACCTCCCTCCTAGTTATGATAAAATTGAGTGAGAGAAGGAGCAGTTGCCTGGCTCACAGCTGTTCTCATATATATAAACAGGGATGCCATTCATTAACTCATTCATTCATTCAGCAACTACTTCTTGAGTACCTACTGTGCGCCAGGAGAGACTGACCAAGCTAGACCAAGTCCCTGCCCTCATGGAGCTGATGTTCCCATGGGAAGACAGACAACAAAGGGACATTTACAACCCAGACCACCTCCTCCGGGCCCAGACCTGAGCCAGTCTCATTCCGCCCTGCAGTGACCCTCCTGGGCTCAGGGTCACCATGCCCAGTTTTAAAAGAGGAAGGCTCAGGGAGAGGAACAAGGCAATATTTTAAAGCCATGTGGTCCAATTGTCAGAGTGGAGATTCACATCGGCAAGACACCCCCTTCCCCGGCCTGGGGACTTCTAGAGGACAGAGAAGAGCACTCGAGGATACAGCATTTTCCAAGGGCCAGCTCAGGGCACAGCCCTGCCGACAGGGCCACCCCCACCTGGGCACCAGAGAGACCAGCCGGGCTGGGGGTGTGGCCGGGAAGCTGGTCCTCCCACCCCAACCCCAGGCTGGGCTCTGCCACTTTCCCTCGCTCAGGGAGCAGCAGTGTGTGTGTTTGGGGGTGTGTTGGGATAGGCAGTGGCGGGCCTATTTCCAAGATGCTCCCTCTTGGCGCTCTCCTGAGTGGGGGTGGATGGAGAGGTGGAACAAAGGCCCCGTGGGGGAGAGACACTGCCGGCCCCCGCGGCCTGGGGACAAGAGCAGCTTTGTGGGACAGTAAACAATGGCGGGGGTGGTGGGGAGGTGAGGGGGGAAGGGCGCGGGCGTCGGGTCCCAGGGCTTAGGCGGGGGCTGCGCTGCCCTGGCTGGGAACTGGGAGCGCATCCGGCTCCCTCCGCTTGGGGCCGGTCCTGGCCCCTCTGCGGAGGGACACCGGGGGCGGAGGATGGAGCCCGATTCAGGCCCTACAATGGGGCTTTGTGTGTTGGCCGCAGAGGGGCGGGGGCGCCGTCTCCTGGCGCATCGGCCCACATTCCCTTGCTTAGCTCCCAGCTGGCCAGAGGCTTGGGTCCAGGGGCTAAGGGGTGGCTGGCTGGGAGGTCCCCCAAGAGACGGTGGCTAGGCGCCTGAACTCTTAGGACTGCTCCCCCTCCCCCCAAGATGCGGGGGAGGAGATGGCTGGGCCCCGAAAGAAAAGGTGCGGAGGACCCTGGATGCTTGGGAAAGGGTAGAGGGGATGGGTGTGGGGCCGGCTGTCCTAGGGGTGGGAGGCAGGACTTGACAGTCTGGGGCTGGGCGTGACAGCGGTTCCGCTCGGGGAGGTGCGAGTTAAATCTGACCCCCACCCCCACCTCCGCCACTCCACCCACATTAGCATCACAATGACGTCCCTCACCGGGGGAGTGAGGCCTTCCCGTCACCGTGGCAACCGGTGGGGGCCAGGCTGGAGACATTCTTTTCCCACGATAGGCTGGACCAATCGGGTGGGGGCAGAGCCAGGATTGGGTGTATGAGGAGGTGCGGGGGGGGGGGCCCACACCACGGTCCCAGGACTCATCCTGATTTCCCCTCCCTCCTCCTCGCAGCGCGGGCATTGGCATCGGTTTCTATGGCAACAGCGAGACCAGTGATGGGGTGTCCCAGCTCAGCTCCGCACTGCTGCACGCCAACCACACGCTCAGTGCCATTGACCATCTGGTGAGGGGCCAGGCAGCTGCCAGACCCCAGACCCACACCCAGGCTGGTTCCCCACATAGGGACAAAGGGCCCCCTCCCAGGGAAACAGAATCTAAGCTCATAGCCAAGACTCCTCACGTGGGCACCCTCTGAAACTTCAACCTGGATCTGGGACCTGGGGCTCAAACCCAGACCCCGAACTCACCCAGCCCAATTCTGCCTTTCAACTCATAGCCCAAACCAGACAGAGATCACACATCAGTGACCTAGCCCCTGCCCTCCAGTGAGGTCCATGCCTGATCAGTGGCCCTGACCCAAGCTTAGGGACCTCAATGTCAAGGTCCAGGGGTCAGAGGAGAGGCCTCACTCCCATTGCTAGCCCTAGGGCGGGACCCAGCCTGACCTCAGACCTTGGATCTTGTGTCCTGTGCAGACCCTGGGCCCTGGAACCCAGATGGGATCCCAGACTCAGGAAGGTAGATGCCAACATCAGACCCAGGACCCCAGATTTACTCCTGGTCTGGGATCTGAATCTCCCCAGGCCTCAAGCCACTAACCACCCAGAGCCCCTCCTCCCCCCTCAATGGCAGATGCCCTGGCCCCAGTTCTCAGCCACCACAGCTCACTCCTACTTCATAACCCTGTCCCCCGACCCTGGAACTCCTGAGAATGCCATCCCCTGACCCCAAACCCACACCTGCACCCAGGTGTTGGAGACAGTGGAGAGGCTGGGCGAGGCCGTGAGGACAGAGCTGACCACTCTGGAAGAGGTGCTTACACAGCGCACAGAACTGGTGGCTGCCACCCGGGGGGCCCGGAGGCAGGCGGAGGCAGTGACCCAGCAGCTGCAGGGGCTGGCCTTCTGGCAGGGAGTGCCCCTGAGCCCCCTGCAAGTTGCAGAAGATGTGTCCTTTGTGGAGGAGTACAGGTGGGTGGCCCTCTTTCTGCCCTGTGTGGCAGGGCTTTTTCAGCCAGGGTGCATTGGGCAATGTCTGGAGACACGTTGGGTTGCCACGCCTGAGGGAGGGGACGCTCCTGGCATCTGCTCAATATCCTACAGTGTGGAGGACGGTCCCCATAGCAAGGAGGATCCGCTCCAAGTGTCAATGGGATGAGGTTGAGAAACCCAGCTGTGGAGAGACGGACCAAGTGATGTCCATCCTCACACCTGAGTGTTCATCCATATACCCACTCACTTCATTCATTCATGCATTCGTTTATTCCAGACTCCCCCATTCGTCGACTCACTCTTGAACTCACTCCCTGACTAGCCCGTTAACTGGTTCACTCCCTCAGTCATCTCTCTGATGGGTATATCCATTCAACAGGTCTTTATCTACACCTTTCAGGGAGTGAGAAGTCATGTCCCAGTGGTTAGGAACTGTGCCCTGAAGCCAGCAGCCACTCCCTAAACATGTGACCTTAAACCAGCCCTCACCAGCTCTATGCCTCAGTGTCCCCATCTGTGCAATGAGAATAATGGGTAGCACCCCACCCCCATTGGATTGTTGAAGATCCAATGAATAGGCGTCAGTCAAGAGCTTATGACGGCGACTAGCACACATTGTACATTCCACTGTTTGTGAAATGTGAGTTTTCATAAGACAGGGCAATGAACAAAACACAGGGTGGCTCCTGCCTGGCTCCCAGTGTCAGGGTAGGGCCGGTAAGAAAAACGCATAAGTGAAATGTGATGTCCAAAGGTGGAGGTAACTTCACATGCACTATCCTCTTCAGTCAAAGTGAATTAATTACTCACTGATACAGTGATTAAGTAACATTTAAAGTTCCCTTATTCATGGTCAAGCTAACACTGAAGTGTGTCCATGTGCCTGGCCCTCCTCTGAGTGCTTTCCGTGTTCTCATTCATTAGCCTCATGACAACCTTTTGGGGTACGTGCTGTCGTCTCCCCATGTTACAGGTGGGGAAGACAAGGCATGTGAGGTAAAGGTACTGAGACAAGGTTACACACAGCTAGGATGTGGAGACCCAGCCCACAGACTCTGCACCCTGAGGTTGTGCAACCTGTGGCTGATGAGGCCTGAGCCTGGGAGTGTGACTCGCTTCACTCTGCAAGGTGGGGAGAGGGCAGGGACTCTGCGGCCAGATCATGTACTCAGTCACCAAGCTCTTGCATGATCTGGTTAGAGTGTGGTACCAAGTGCTCCACACTC